AGAGATATCTCGATGACATTTCATATGTTCGAAGATCCCCACATCAACGTCCTGGTTCACACCTGGCCCTGTTCTTTCAAATATTTGCGTCAATTGACGTGTCCTATATCACGTGGGACTCCCCCGGGGAGTCCACGGAACCGTGTTCTGTCGTTATTTACGATTCCACAGTGACACGTGGACGCCCACCCATTTCGATCGGAACTCCAAAACTCGACACGCCCCTCAAATTCAACAACCACACCATATCAATGTTTTCGTTATTTTCTTGAATTCAAAACTTTGATAAAATGTTCTAATACGATGAATTCTCCCGGGAACAACGAGGTCTAATAGGGAAAATTAATAACGATGGGGGAAAAGGAGGTCGACCTGAATAAAATATACCCACCCACCGTTTCGATTGGGAAAACGGTGGACCTGAAGCTTCCCTACGTAGGTAATCCTATAATTGGGTCCTAACTCCCTTAACGACATACCAATCGTTTCTGCGACAAGTGGAACCGGCTATTATATTGATTAAAGGAAAACTGGTTTCCCCCCAAAAAGAGGGTCATCTAACTCATTTATCACACCCTAAGATAAAATGATGAAGTCAATAAGATCTTTAGTCCAAAAGAGGCAAAATCAATTTAAATTTAAAAGTAGGGAATCGATTTAAAAAAGAGTCGAAATTTGTTCAGAAGGCAGTAACAGTTTCAGTTCACCGATTTCAATTTGTATCCCTAATCGGATTTTTTTTAATATTCGCGAGAAACTCTGGGGGCGACGGGGAACAATTTGCTAAAGCGAATTCGCCGGAAATCAGTCGGTATAAATAATCCGAGTTCTTTTCGCTTATCGAATTTCATATTCTCAGCACATAAAAAATAAATTATCTTACTCCTTCAATCCCCCTTTCCCTAAAAACTGAGAACCTTTTATAAATTACTAAAAAAAATTTCATAACTTATATTGATTATTTAGACTAATATTAATAAATCACAAAGATGTTATTATATTGATAATAAAGACGATTAACATTAATAAACACCAGACGTTAATCCACAATATATTTTAGAACATCCAAGTACCACTTTGTTGTTCGGTGTTGTGAATTTGTTCTGGTAATCGAACCACAACATTCGTATGTTTCCAGATCAGGTGTATAAATCTGGTAAGAAAAACTGAATGAATAATAATAATAATTTATTTCCAAAAAACTCAAAAGTTACAGGTCATCGGATACAGTATTTGTATTTCATTATGTAATTCATAACATTATAGAAAATATAATAATACAGAACATATGACAAGATTTCTACAGCTTCATTTTGTCCGGCGAATTGCTTCATTTTGCGAACATGCTCCCTTAATATCTTTTTGTAATGGAGCATTGATGTAATTGTATCTATAAGTTTGTTATAAAATTTTACGCCTTGGTAATATACCGATTGTTGACAGATAGTCAATCGGTGGTATAGAATTTGTAGAGATGAGTTATTCCTTGTACTGTATTGATGATATTGCGCTCTACACGATAATTTTGTTTTATGAAAATAAGACATCTATAGATATAAAGCGAATAGACAGTCATTATTTTTAATTTTTTAAACAATGGTTTACATCTCTCCATTTGAGTTGCATTCATCAACGCTCTGATTGCTCTTTTTTGTATTATAAATATTCGTTCAGCTTTTAGGGAACTTCCCCAGAACAACACACTGTAAGAGATAATGCTTTGAAGATTTGAATAATACACCACCATTACTGTATGTCGATCTGCTGGAAAAGTACTGAACTGAGTTTCTTTCCAACTTCATGTATCTGTGCAATCCATTTCAGAGAACTCTCTAAGAGTACTCCCAGTAGTTTAGCATCTGTTGCATGAATAATAAAAATCAGTGGATTTAGTGTGAAACTCAATTCTTTGCATTTTTCTCATTCAGTTGTACTCTATTAGCTTTAAACTAGTCAGAAGCGACCATCGGACTAAAAACTTCATCTCCTTTTAGCTTATCATTGGAAATCGCCTCGTTAACCAGACTTGTATCGTCTGCAAACATTATAGTATTGCATATTTTCAAGGATTCCGGGAGACCACTAACATACAGCAAGAAAAAAATTGGCCCCAAGATGAATCCCTGCGGCACACCAATCCCAACCTTTTTAATAGTCGACCGTCTTCGCTGGCAATCATATAACACAACCAGTTTTGGTCCAAATTTAAGTTAACCGAAATTGTGCCGTACATCTACTCATAAATATAGCCTTGGAAGCCTTACAGATTTTGCCAGACGAAATGGTGCTGTAAATTGATAAGCCTTTATATTTTCACTAATATCTTTCTAATGTTTGATAGATGCAAATTGAATTCAAACGATCAACATATTATTCTAATTATGCTTCATCTCCATAGAAAACTCATGCTTCTTCACATTATCATCATCAACAAAATCGTTAGCTAAATCGTCATCACTTTGGACTTCTTCTTTTAGCTCATGGAGAGCGATGAATTCAATCAATTGATACTGAAAACTACACAATAATCTTGTTCTTAAAAAAACTTGCAATGATACTCAATATTTATCTAAACACTTTTAGAGTTAACTTGAACAAATTATCAACTTACTTTCTTAGTAGTGATTATTCTTTTAAAATTTGCAAAGAAAAGGTGCCATGATGTATGTGATATTATTACTTCTCTAATGTTTTTTTCCTGAAAATGTTAACTTTTCTAATTATCAAACTGTATCGTGCTTTTCAAAAATGTATTCTATGGTTTTCTTGGTTATTTCTGCATCCCTATCTTCAACATTTTCGTAACTAAAAACAGAATAAGGTGTACATAAACGAGTGACTCCTAACAGAAAAACATTTCTACTTGCCTTTTTTGTTGCTGCTGGGCTGAGGGGAGCGGCCCCTCTCGTCTTCACGTACTATAAGATCTATAGTGATTTATCCTTGATGAACCATATCATTGTTTCAAAGACATGTTCCTTTATGGTGTTAGGCAACTTTTCTTATCTCTTTCTGCATTCTTTCCTTTAAATCATTCATAAAATCCATAAACAAAAAAAAATGTTTCATAATGTCCACAACAATATTTATTATAATTGCGAATCGATATGTAAAGCATTCATTAAATGTGCAAATTCAACCCAAACAATAAATTCAAACATCAATAAATTTCATAAAACCATTCCAACATTAAATAAAAGCCTGTGACATTCCTCTTTTTGTCAACGGGTCAGATAAGGGTTTGGTGAAAGTCAACCCTATTAAATTCCGTTTCCATTGTTAGATCTTCACTTTAGAAATTCGCAATCTCAAAAATTCCAGTCCCTAAAACTGCCTAAAAAACTTTTTACCCTCATTAATCCCCATATAATATATCCTTTGTCATTCCCACCAAATAGCTCAAACAGCCATCCTTTAATGGTATCCGCAATGTCATCAAACAACCCCGAAACTACCTCGTATCAGTTTCCAATAGTAACAACCTTCCGGATCGTAACCCAAAGCAATACAAACCAGTTACATGACTACGACAATTCAAGTCCCCTCTCTGTTTGATGTTTGGTTCCCGTTTGATCGTCGGGATTAAGTACTCAAATTAATTAAGGAATACCGAAATCGACGTCGGATTACAACGACCGTGTCTTGTTGTGTCTCTTCTACGGTTATTGCCCTTGTCTCGTTAGCAATAATTCAAACCAATTACTATTAGTAGTTGTACTAGCATTATTACTAGTAGATTGCTTTGAGTTTAACAAACCATAATAAGTTAAATAATTTGCTTAAAGTAAACTTGTTGCTATTTTTTATAAAGACGTCTCGATTAGTCTTAGCGTTGTAATTAAATTAGAATTTCCAACGGCAGTTGAACTATACAACTGCGCAAGGGTCTTAGTAATTGGTAGTTACTGTGATTAAGTCCCGATTATCGGACCGACGACAGCTTTGCCGATGCGAAACTGCTAAACTCAATTTAAACGGGTTCAATTGATGGACAAATTGATAACTCGATAGATTCTATTTATATCATTTAGAAAAGAAAAAGTTTTGAAAAGTGATTCAAATTGCACTAATTAATCAATATTATTTTAATAGTACAGTAAAACTTCGATATAACGGCGATATATCCTCTATATTCATAGATAAATTCGCGGTATTCCCCGACTTATCTATATGATGTATTAATCAAGGATGGTAGTTCTAGTTTTAATTGTTATTCGCGCTATATTGAATATTTTTATTGAACTAAAACTAGAACTCACACTAGACCTAGAACTATTTTTAGTTCTTTACGAACCCGAACGTTTCTAGTTCTAGGTCTAGTGTTAGTTCTTGTTTTAGTTGTTATTCAGAGTTAGATTGTTATATATCTTTATTGAAGTAAAACTAGAACTCACACTAGACCTAGAACTATTTTTAGTTCTTTACGAACCCGAACGTTTCTAGTTCTAGGTCTAGTGTTAGTTCTTGTTTTAGTTGTTATTCAGAGTTAGATTGTTATATATCTTTATTGAAATAAAACTAGAACTAACACTACGCGTCTGAAGATGTAGCCGTCCATCTTCAGACGCGTTCTTTCTAGAACCCGAAACTTTCTAGTTCTAGGTCTAGTGTTAGTTCTAGTTTTAGTTGTTATTGAGTGTTAAATTATTGTATATTTTTGTTGAGCTAAAAGTAGAACTAACAGTAAAGCTAGAAGTAGAAACGTTTAATTATTATATAATTAAAAATTTTTCATATAATGAACGTTTTAATCCCTTATATCGAAGATTGTTTATTCGTAGGTAACTATACTCTTTACGAAAGGGGTTACTTTAAATGCTCTTGGCGACATCTAGAAGTTGAGAGCTAAACTAAAATCATTAGTTCACCCGAATATAGAGGGAGATACTGGAAAAATTTTGAGTATTTATTCTTTACAAATTTTTTTTTGATTTATTATTTTAAAATTTTTTACAAAAATTTTTTTTTAAACAATAATTAAGAAATATTCTTATTTTTAGCTCTCCGAATTGGAGCAGCGTGTCCTTGAAGCTGAAGGACGAGCGGAGGAAGCTGAAGACAAGGTAAAAAAGCTTATTATTATTTTAAATAAACATTTTTTGTTTTTTAAATTGTTAATATTTGAATTCGCATTGACGTTTAAAAGCGTCCTTTCGACGTTAGAATTCGTTGCGCGAGATGGAGTTCGCGGCAAACGGTTGCCAGGCAACGCGTCTCGCTTTCGCTATCGTTTGTTATTGATTATTTCGAAGTGCGACGTGCGCGGCCCTCTCGGATATTATGGCGCCTCGCAGCTGACAGAAAAACAGAAAACAATTTCGTTTTGCGGTTTTTGTTCATTTTCCATTTGCCAAATTTGGCGAACCGGCGACCGGTTCAACCGAAAATTAAGACGGCCTACTCCGGAAAACGCTACGACGTCGACAACACTAAGAAAATGTAAGTCTAAAATAGAGAATCACTCTTTTTTTCATTTCGTTTTGTTGTTTTTATGGCCATTTCACCCACTTGATTTTCATTTTTAACAATTATTACAACTTGAATTAAAGTAAACCATTATTTTGAATCTTAAATAAAATTTTGAGCTTTATTGTTATTGTACTTTACTAGTTTAGTCAGACTGCTTGACGTTATTGCGAAAAAATGTGTATAAGACCTTTTTTTAAAGCTTTCATTGTTTTTTGGATATATTTCTTAATTTTTAAAAAATTTTTATTTTACGTTTTGTTTTTAAAACCTTTTACCCTCGTTTGAATAAAACAATAAAAGTAACATAAACGTAAAGGAACAAAACGTCGGCTGTACACGAGATACAAAGGGCACTTTAAACTCGCGAAAGTGGCTGGTAACAACACGCACAAAGCCGTTCGCGTATAAAGAAAAGAGGAAACAGGTGGTCTATACACAGGAAGAACTTTGTCCTTTATACCAGAAACGGTAATAAGGTGTATTTACAAAATCTCCTTTTGTAACATCCATTTTAAGTTATTCATTGCATTTTTTAATAAGACAAATTTCGATTTATAAATACAGTGAAGACCGGTTATAACGAGCACGCGATATAACGAGCATGCCATCAGGTCTCGTCAAAAGTCCCATCCTTACATTGTTAAAAATCTCGGTTATAACAAGGATCGGCTATAACGAACTAATTTTACATGTTTTGTACCCAGCCTGTAACGAGCGGATAAGGCAAAGTCATGCATAAACTGTAGAACTTTATCTACTAAAAGTTAATTTCTAGAGGGTTTCTCTATCACGTTGCATTGAAGCCAACTATACAGATAAAAGTGAATATATGTCAACATGCGATACAATAAACAATAATATTCGGCAGGAATTATTGCGCAAAAACTTTAAACAAAAAACATCAAAGAACAGTTTTTTGTTGTCAAAAATGTATTCACTGTATACAGGGTCATCCACGACGACCGTCCATTAGAACTTTACAGGGTTCTGGCCAAAATACACATTTGAAAATTCAGATTTAAGTATTATCAATTGCCTTCTCTTCGACTAAAATATTTTCAAATATCTAACACTTCCGATTATACCGGAAGTCGCCACCTACTTTATTTTTTAAACGGAACATCCTATATATTTTTACATATTTGGATTTGTCTGTTCTCAAGATTTATGAATGACTTTACTTTTTGCAATTTGATTCGGCCGTTCTCGAGTTATTCAAATTTTTCTAGAAAAATCGCTCCAGCAGATATTTGTTCAAAAAATCAGAGAACACTCGATTTTTGGGATATCAATTTAGGATTCAGAACATGCTTAAGCAACATGATGGAGTATGTTTTGGTGCCGAGTATGGCTGTCTAGAACGTTTGGTCACTTTACTATGGCACGTTACCTTTTTGAAACTTGGAAGTACCATAACTTCATTTCTTTAAATGGCACCCCTCATATTTTATTACTCAGTCGTCTTCGGTGTCTCATTTTACATCTTTTATATCCGATATGTCTTATACCTAACATTTATAGTTTGGGAAATAATTAGGGTTTATTGAAAAATGCACACAAATATCGATATTAAAGTATTTTCAGGTTCCGGGTACTTGTGGTTACACCGGAAGAGGTGACAATTTTCATATTTTAAATGAAACACCCCGAGTTTTATAACATTTTTCAATCAAAAATGTCAACTACAACGTTACTTTTTATAATTTATAAATCATCTACTTTGACCGCCGGAAAAAAATTTTGTGTTGTGAATGTTGTTGTGGTTATGTATTATCAGAGGATCAGTAAGGAAAAAGTAAACAGTTTGACATTTGCTAAAGCTATGGTTTATTTCTGTTGGTGTGATGACTAGGTTACTTTTTGTAGTGATCTGTTCTCATGAAATGCCACGTTTGGAATTTAGTAATGAGGATTATTGTAAGTTATGGTATTTCCAAATTTCGAAAAGTTAACGTGCCGTAGTAAAGTGACCAAACGATCTAGATAGCCGTACTCGGCACCAAAACACACTCCATCATGTTGCTTATGCATGTTCTGAATCCTAAATTGATATCCCAAAAATCGTGTGTTCTCTGATTTTTTTAACAAATGTCTGCTGGGGCAGATTTTTCTAGAAAAATTCGAATAACTCAAGAACGGCTGAATCAAATTGCAAAAAGTAAAGTTATTCATAAACCTTGAAAATAGACAAATCCAAATATGTAAAAATATATAGGGTGTTCCATTTAAAAAAATAAAGTAGGTGGCGACTTCCGGTATAACCGGAAATGTTAGAATCTGAAAATATTTTAGTCGAAGAGAACGCAATTAATAATACTTAAATCTGAATTTTCAAATTTTTGTATTGGCCAAAACCCTGTAAAGTTCTAATGGACGGTCGTCGTGGATGACCCTGTATAACTATACAGTATAGTTGTTTAGTTAATTTCCTTGTTATTCTGTTATCATACTTATATTTTTGTTAAACAAAATAAAAAAAAATGATAAAAATATCTTTTGCCGTTTAAGACTACTTTTTACTAAGTTTAAATCACATATTTGGCAACCTTGGTTATAACGAGGCACCACGTATAACGAACCGCTCCCTTGGATGCTTGTTGTAGCCGGTCTTCACTGTACTTACTACAGCTATGTTTCAAACATTTTACTGAGTCAAGATCACTTAAGTACGACGGGCGAAAAATGTTTTTAAAGGTATTTTAAGTAATACTCGTTAAGTTTGGAAAAGCTTGATGATCTGAAGCTAAAGAATTTTGATTCACTTTTACCATCTTTTGATAATCCATCATAATGGTAACACTGCTTCACCCAAAACAGTACGAAAACGGCTAAACATTATTTTCGAAGGTCAGTAGCCCAACTCTCTTGCTACGTAACGTACCATCAAGCAGTATTGCATAAGATTCCAATGAGATAAATGTTGGTATGGAAAGACAACCGAAGTTTATAGCAGCCAAGATACAAAAGCAATGGGCAGTTGCGAGACAGCTAATGAAAGCATTGCTTTTTCTGCTCCTACAAAAAATGAAAAACAACACCTACATGTTGCAAAAAGTGTTTTTTTAATTAACGATTCCTACTTTAGTTATTCTTTTAGTTTAATTTTCACTATGTCACTTATTTATTTTTACATATCTACGTAAATTTACGCGTATGGTTAGTACTTAATAAAGTGTTCTATTTTATAGTTAGCATTCTAGAGTTAATGGTATTGCCTTGATAACAAATGCATGGTTTTCTTTCATGAATATCAATTTTGGCTTGTAAAGGTGAAGGATTAGCAGCAGGTTTCTTTTGGCATAATGATCAAGATTTCCAATGTTTAAGACAGCTTGTGACCCAATTTCTGGCGGAATTGCTCGATGAAATCACATTCTTCCTCACCTTATAAATTGGACAATTCATCAAATGCAGTTAATATACCTCCTTTATTAATAATTGTTCGACTTAAGAGTTTGTAAAACCTCTCTGATATCTGTTAGTAGGTTCCTAATCCCAAAAGACCCGTCTTTATTGGGTTAAGAATAGTTTTGATGACAAAATCTGATTGTTGATGGACTTAGTTAGGTGGTTGATGATATTCATTCGATTCCATCCTCAACTACTCTTTGCTTCTTGATAACTTGCTTGCTTTAGAGCAACTTATTTCGTTATCAATCAGGCACTCTCCCACCATGTTGTTCCAATTTCCTTTGAGTGTTTCTCAATTTCTTCCTGTCTTTTTGATTATCTTACTTGTCCTGTTTGCCTCTCATCTTTTATCCTGTTCAGTTTCCCAAATCATTTCAAAAAGCTTCTTCTATTATCATATCATTTAGTATATCTTTTTTTTAGATCTTAGCTTGCGTTTTCTTTTCTAATTTTATAACAGTGACGTATTGCACTCCCTTCAAGTATTTCCTTCAAACAGAAAGCAGCTCCCATACAACAGAAATCCTATTCATCTCTCATTTTCCGGTTTTGTATATTGTTTTATACTATCAATATTGTATTCCCAGCGTTTTCATTTTTTTTTGAAAACATAGACCGTAATTTAACTTGGTTATGCTGGTCACTTTTTCATCATTTTCCTCTTCGGTCCCATTCTATTTTTTACACCTAAAAATTTGAAAGAATCGTTCTTCTAAATTTCTCTAACACCGACCGTTGTTTTTACATTCGATTACTTACAAGAGAAGTACTTGTACTGACAGAAAACGGAGGCAGAGAAGAAGCCCATCTTCTCCGCCTCCGTTTTAGATAAATTTTACAAAGCCATAACATGCCAGAGCATTTGGAAGTTGGGATGACAAAATAGAGACGGTTAGCAGTTTCATATACTTGGGATCCCTGATGAATAATAAAAATTCGGTCAACGAGGAAATAAAGAAGGTTGAGACGGATTGGCCACTTTCAGACTGTTTCTCCCATTCCCTGCATCATCTTCTAACCTCATCCTCTTCTGTTGCTTTTCTTTTTTCAGACACTTTAATGCCTCTTCTACTTTTATTCTCTGATTCATTATGATTGTCACCCGTACATTCAGAATGCCTTCAAAGCGTTCTTTCCATCTTTTTATTATATCATTGTCAACATCAGTTTTCTTTAACATTTT